GAGGAGGGGTAGCCTCGCCTGGGCACATCAGCACGTGTTTTTCCTCGGTTTGCCGAGGCTCCAAAGAAAGCCAAGGCGGAGCAGCTCAGACTTCAATCACAGAAGAAGTTTTCCTCAACGGGCGGGGGAGTTATTGTCAAATATTGTCCAATAATCAGTATTAATTAGCGATGGGTCGTTTGGGTGATGTTTGTCCCTTAACTTCTATCTCAGATGCTTGCAAATCATATTCAACCATGTGCTTGAGCCACTTCAAACATTCTACCATAAAGTTTGGCACCCTGGTTCCTTTGCCCCACCCTAACAACTGCGGGCTGATGATCGACTATTAGCCAAGTAATTCAAGTAGTTATGTTTCTATCAAGACGTCAAGTTGGCTTTAGTGGGGATCGCCCACCGGCTTGAAGCGTGCATTGAAGTGACTCTTTAGAGGCAAAGTGAGCGGGAGGTGTGAGGAACGAGGAACGGAAGTGATGCAACATGATGCTTGTTCTCTTTACAACGCCTGAGTTATATGCAGAATTAATTGCATAGGGCGTAGTTTGGCTTTCACAAGAATGTGCGGGTGTGTGTGTGTCGCTTGCTGATGCAAGCTAAATCAACCTTCGGAGCTTGCGTGTCTGGACCTGGACCTGCATCTCTCCAAGTTTAGCGGTTGGAGTTTTGCTGCTTTGTCCATCTCCTTGGCTCCTGTGATGCATTTGGCTGGACTCATGCTCAGCGACCGTATTAGACGAAGTGGGTGAAGCGGCCTCATTGTGCAAAACGATGGAGGTTATATATTGATGAGTTGAAAAGGAACGTGCTACATTATCCTAGCAGCAAAGAGAGCATGGTTGCAAAGAATGTTTTTTGGCTTTGGCAAGTCACTGTCACAGTATCTCCTCCAGGGCCAAAGAACACTATAGGGCGAAAGGAGGAAGACAAAATATAAAATTGCAGTCCTTTTGGAGGGCACTTGCAACAATATCCAATCGTTTGTTGTTTTTTGCTCGGGCGATTTGCAAGAAGTGTTTGTATGGACTCGCATGCTCTACCGCACTCAACCCACCTGCTAGCTGCTGCGTGCTGGTGAAACTCACTTGCTACAATTGTAAGACAGATATGTTTCTCTACCAACCAGGCTTTCTTGAAGGATCATGAAAGGATATGACAGCATAATGTTGTTTCTGATGTGTTTGCTTTTCCATAGGCGCCCTTCCTGTTCACCCAGCATCCACTTCACCTGATCCTAGACGAACGCGCAATGCAGGTGGAACCATCGTTGCCACCTGCAAAGGGTGGAGGCACTTTTTCGTCTCCGAGATCTTGGGATGGGCAGCCTGCAGCAGGCCACGCTTTTCCAGTAGCCTGCATGCCATGCACATGTTGTGTGTCTTCAGATGCTTGGAACAATTTGCAGCACTGCCAAGCTAACAAGCCATTTCTTCTCCTTTTTCCTTCATGGTGGTGGGTGTCAGATTCAAACCTTGTTACAAACCCAATGTGTTTCCTCTACCAGCCAATCGTGCACTTTCTACTGCTGTACCTACTCTTGGCCGTTTCTTCTCGTTCCCCCGAGATGGTGCAGGAGCAATTCCCACCGCCAAGGCGGGGATTTGGACTCAGATCCATACATCCATTTTCATAACCAATTCATTCAAAATGGCCTTACCTAGAACTTTTTAAGAAATCACAGAGATTCGATTGAAACCTAGCGATAGCTGCATCATTTGCATCAGCAAAGTGTTTGTGGCAGATGGCTAGCAGAGCCGCATTGCTTGTTGGCTACTGCTGGTGTTTCTGCTGCTTTTGCTGATGCTGCTGGATTGCTGCTGTTTCTGCTTGCTAATTCCCTCTTACCTTCCAACTAGGACCTGCATACTCTCTTCTACTGGCTTTCCTTCTTCCTTCCTCAGTTTTTTTTCCACTCCTTGCTTGCAAGCTGGTTTCAATCCGGTCCAGCTGGTTTATTGAGTTGTTGAAGGTATGTAGGCGGGTATCCATCGGAGCCATTTGAGCATCTCAGATTCCAACTGGCCCGCCCGAGCTAGGGCAACGGCAAGAAGGGCAATCCATTTGCTGGAAAGAAGTCGTTGGAAGCCAAGGGCGTCGTGGGTTTTGGACATGCTCAGCATGGCCCTACATTCTGATTTTTGTGCAAATCAACAAGGTTCTGCACTGAATATTAAGCCCAGGTTCGGCAAGCCCCTTCCCAGGGCTGGTCACTCAGAGGAACGGGATGATGGCTTCTTGCCGCTTTTGTTGCTTTGTTGCTTAATAGTCACAGGTTTCCAGACCAAGCAGACTGTATCTACTGGTTGGCGCCACAAAGAGCTGATCCGACCTCTAAGGATGCGCCAATTTGGGTTCAGCTGCCTCAGGCAGGGCGATGCAGGGCGTGATTTTTCTTGCTTTCGGTACGAGTTTTCAGGTCCAAAAAGTAATCCCTTCACCTAAAAGCCACCGGCCGCCCCACGACCAGCTAATTAGAATACTCTGGTCGAGTTGCTTGTCATTGGGGGTCCCCCAAATGGGGGAACCCCCAAACATGGGAACCTGGGAAGAGCTTCAAAATTCAACAGTTCCTGGGCCTCCAACAATTTTGAAATCGTACAGCAGAGCAGAGCATATCAAAGTTGAAAATTTATCGAAATCGAAGGGTTTTCCTGCGAATGTTGATTAATGTCTGTATGTGTATGTGTATGTATGTATGTATATATATATATATATGTAATTGCTTTTTATAAAAAATTAGTTATATTACATTCTTGGATATTCTTCGCTTGTAGAGTTTCCGTCAGGCGATGTCGCTTTGCCATGTGGTTTGAACACAACCTTGTTGGAAACTCGAGAGGGCCTGGTGAAGCTTCGCCGCGCACATCACAGCAAGCCCCGGTGCAAAAATAACTTCATCATGTTCGCTCGTGCTTTCATCACCGAGGTCAGGCACATTGCCGAGAGCAAAGTGCAGAACCAGACTGCTTTGAACCTCTCTTCCCTGCCGCTGCGGTGTGCGGCACATTGCGGGCATTGTCTTCGGCAACGCTGACGGACACAAGGAACAACAGTCTTTGGACAAGAGTTTCTGGACATCGCAAGTTGCAGAGCCTTCCTGATGGCTCTTGCGCACACCGCCATTGTTGACTCATCGCAGTCAATCTGGGAAGCAAGAGCTCTGACTTGAGCTCCTCCTTCCGGCAGTGATGTGTTTGGGACGGCTGGGCTCGCGGACTTTCGGGACCACATGACTCTCTGTCAGCAACGCACATACTTCTGAAGACTGTGACAGACATTGTTGACTTCGCTCTCTTGAGCAACTGTGTGCAACGCAAGTTGCAGGGACTTCTTGACGGACGCTCGGCCGAGCTTCCGAAGCTTGTTCAAGGCTCCGCTTTTGTACAAGGATTGGCCACTTCAGATTCAGAACACAGGCAGGCACGAACAGATGTGGTTGACCAGTCCTCGGGAACGCCTAGAAAAGCAATGCGTGGGCTGAAACGCACAGCGCCTGTTGACAGATTCAGCTTGGACTTTGTGGGGTGCCACTCAGCGTGCCACTCGATCGGTCATCCGAACTGCAAGTGCAGGGTTTCTGTAGCGCTGGTGCGACAGTGGCACACTGTGCAACAATAATTAACCCGGTCTGTCCTTCGATCATTTTTGACCATTTAGTAGCACTTTTGGAAAACCAAGGTCGACTATGAACACTGCTGGGTCGACGCACCAAACCGATATGAAAAGCAAGCTTCAACTGGCGGACAGGACCAGCTGGCGCCGGAGGTTTTGCAGGAGAACGTTGGAGTGGAGCGGGTGTGCCATGCCATGGGAAATCAATGGGACTTAAGCCAACCATGCCATGCCAACAATTTAGGTATCAATGGCAAGATTCGTTCTGCCAGGCTAGTGCCCTAAAGCGCCATAATTTTTGGTGGGGAATAAAGACAGAGGACGTTCTTTTGAAATCGGTTTGTTCTTGACATGTGAAGTTGTCGCATGGGCGTCGGTTTCTTTTTCGTGTGTTTGGCGGTTTGGCGCTACAGGTCGGGTCTAGTCCATGACAGCGAGGTCATTTTATCAAGTTGTTGCAACTCATGGTGCCTGGTGGATGACACACTGAGTTGCCGCGCCTTTCTTGCCAAGTTTCAGATCCCATGATATCCCATGTCCAATTGGAGCGCATTGGGAAGATGACGATTCCTGGTTTCGGCTCGGAGCTTCACCTTGCACCGCGACACCAGTGAGCATTGTTGAAACAAAACTGAGAGGCAAACTATGGACCTTGATCTATACATTGACATGAAAGTCGCGAACTGGTTACCAGGGCCACTGCAACCCCACAAACCACACTCTGCAGCCCACCCCTGTAAGATTTGAGCATTGCTAGGCTGCTAGGCCATGGATTGCTGCTTGTTGGGAATCTTGAACCTATGATCATTTTTAGGTAGCCAGAGTGTCCAATGTGATGAATCAAGAATCAAGAGGACCCCAACCTTTTGAACTCCAGCCTGCCATCGGCATCACGCTCGCAACGGCCGGTGCTGCCCTTATGGTTTGAGCGCCCAATGCCTCCCAGTGCTTCAGCTGAAGGGAGGATGGGCGACCGCCTGGGCAAAGTTGCTCAGTGAACCAGTGCGATACATGGCACATACAAGTTCACAACTTGTGTCAAGTTGTCGAAGTTGGTCGATGTTTCCTCGAACCTGGCGTTTCAGGACCTTTCGAGTTTCTTTGCACTGCACTGTTTGAGATGTGGCAAGTTGGCTCAAAAGGAGGCCCGGGTCAAATGTACAGGTGGGGCCGCAAACTTGCAGAACTTGGCTGAATAAGAGGTAGATCAGTCGAAGGCACCTGCTCTTTGCAGCCCGATATGCTCTGTGCTCTTATTATACAGATGCCCATCCTCTAGAATACTCCTTAGATATCCCTAGATACATTCCTGTGGGCTGGAAGGCAAGCTTAACAAGTAGAATGATTCTAACAGGTTAAACATTGCGCAGTAGTCACATCCTGCGCCACCCATGCGCCACACCACTGTGACGTGCTGGGTGTTAACCCTGGCTGCGGTGCTGTGGCCGCGTGCGAGCGCGGTGGCCGCGGAACTGGATGGGACAGTTTCGACGAAGCCAGAGAGGCCAGTGATGAGAGTTTGTTTTTGGGAAAAGCACGGACGTTCCTATAGAATCCTATAGATCTATAGTCAACTATAGTCTATAGTCTTTTTTGCCAGATATGTTTGTATACACTACAGTTGGATGGGCCTCCTCAAAAAGAGGGCGATCCTTTTGTTTGGTGTGTCGGGGGGCCTCTATAGTGGATGAACATGTTCCGGGAGTTTATTTGGTAAAGGGCACGCGTGCGGCATGTGACAATGTGGTTTGGACACACAGCGACTGTGATCCTTGTAAGAGGGCTGGACATGTTCCAATCATTAAGATAATTTGAATGTTTAGGTCTTAGGTGAAAATCGTCCCCAAAAAAGGTGAAGGCTGACGAAGCACCGCTCTCATGTCGCAGGTTCTTCAATTACAGGTCAACCCTGTTTGCACCTGGGCCCCACGCCGGACCCCTGCCACCTGAAAAGCTCCGGTTTGACTTGCCCGAGCTTCTCAGGATGCGCCAAGATTTTCACAACCTCTTCGTGGCCTGGATTGGTGGATCACATGTTTTATCCTTTGCCTTTTGCCCCACTATAGAGTCCCATCGCGTGACTTAGGGGACTAGCTGGACCCTTCAAACATCCTCAAACACTTGGTTGGTAGTCTATATGACTCTACCTATCAGATACATCAGCCAGGAACACCCAGACAGTGTCATGTCATTCTGCTTTTTCAGAATAGGCTCGAATCTCGCTGAAGAGTCAGGGCTAAGGATTCGCGCCGGCGGCACTGTTTTGTTCCTTTATCAGGGTCTTGACTGGCCACGTGCCTACATCCCCAGGGAGTTGTTTTGAACCAACCATTGTCCATTGCCGTGCTATTTGATTGTGGGCGTTGCTTGGAGGGAAGGGGGAATGGTGTCAAAACTAGAAACCAGAGTTGACGGACCGCCCCCGCCACCATCCCCCACCATCCCCCACCATCGCCTAGATGCTCGGAGCCTTGCATAGTGGGTGTGAGGTTGTCTCAGAGTCCAAACTCTGCATTGAACACCCACTGCAAGGATGACATACCACGTCTATCCCAAACTTTTTCCTTCTGGCACCTTGCAGCAAGGCTTCATGAAGCCCAAGTAGTTGGGTCCTCAAACGATTCATTCTCAGGTGGTGCTTCTCCTCGTGTTGCTTTGCGCCTGGATCGTCCGAGTTGCTCTGCAGCTTTTCCGGGCCGGCGAGGTCAGCTGGCGCCTCACGCGCAGCAGGCGCAGTTGGGATGTGCTGCACGTGCTTCTAACCTGTGGCTAGATGTTCTTTTTTTTGGGGGGAGGGGTATACATGTAATGTACATCATTTTTAGTATATTCCTGTTTAATCATGGTCTGAAGTCTTGAGGTAGGGCAATTCGGTAAAGAAGTCGGCTGAAGGCATGAACCCCCGGTTTGGGCCTACACCTGGCATTGAATGGTTCTATTGATATATGATATGGCATTGATGAAGGTAGACATAGCAAACTAGTTTGTTGTTTGTGCCTTTTTTTTCCTGTGTGAACTAGTCAGACTTCCCCACGCGATATCGAGCATGACTCTGCACCTTTGCGCTACTTTGCAACACTCCTGTGAACTGGGAGGTCCTTGCAGTTGGAGGCCATGAGCATCTATGCGCAGGATGGGGTTTGTTCGGATCCCATTTGGTCCCATGGTTTTCGCGGGTCGGTGAGGCACAGCGACTCAATGAGGAGGTCACGGACTGTCGGGGGCGGGCAACCTATGGTAACCTCTGGTCCACAGGATGTGGAGCGCTCCAATCGGTAAAGGACACGAGGTCTCCAGGCAAAGGAAGCAAAGCAAAGCAACGGTCGTGAACATGGAAAACCTATAAGAATGATTCAGACCAGCCAAAGCCAGCAAGGAACCCTGGCTTCTCCCGCAGCATCGTTGGAGACCCCAAGAGTGAAGTTGTTAAGAACGATGCCAATTTTACGAGTTCCGGCCTGGTTTGCAGGGCTTGTGGGAGCACCCTGGACTTGTAACCAAGCGGTTCCCGCGCCCATCCTCTTTACGGAACAAATCGCCTAGAGGACTTCATGATCTTGATCCGCCAGCATTTCAATCAGATCCTCCGCATCCGCCGCACAGTGCCGCCCAAGCTGGTGAGCCGTTGCGAGGTCTTTGCGCATGTGCATCCAGAAACTGGTCGATGAACGGGGGATCTGAGGCAGACATGGGATGAAGAGGTTGGGTGGCGGGGCTTGTTTGGCACGATCAGGGCACCTGCAGCTCCTTTTCTTTGCATTTGTCACTTCTCCTTCAGCGAATAGACCCTGGCTGAAATGAAACTCACACCGCAAGATGATCGCTCACAGGCAAATGCTTGTGATCATGGAGTAAACTTGCCTGGGACATCTTCCCTTCTATGGCCTACCTCCAACAACACCACTACAGATTCACCGGAGGCTCAACAAATACGTAGTAGTGTGTGCAGTGCTGGTGTTCCTTCCGCCGTTTGACAATCACAAAGTTGCACGCCAAATGGTTCTACAACCGGGTTTCAGTCGCGAACTCTTCCCCACAGCAGGCCAACGGGACCTGCCTGAGGAATCCATTCGATGTTTATGGGTCGGAGAAGAGGAGTCTGGTGGTGGGCCTATGGGCTTTGGTGTGGAGCTCCTGGGCCAATGCTTTAATATATCAGAGCAAGGACGATACTAGGGACTCCTGGCTTTACTGCATCGCTACTAGGAGCAAGGATGCTACTAATACCTTATAATAAATTGTTTTGAAGCCATGTCATAGCCTCTTCCAAGTGCGGTTAATTTGGGTCCTTTGCAGCATGAAGGATTCAAAGGTCTCTTTGGAGGCTGAAGGTCCATTTATCTACAAGCTGCTCTTTTTCTCTGGTGACTCGTTGTCCTCCTCTGATATGAGATGTTCACTCCATATTCGAATGCATCGAAACAGCATTCTCAGGTTCGATATTGATGCCTCAGTGCCCTGTTGCGTCCAGCTCTACTGGGGTTTGAGCGCCACCGCATGCAACGATTTGGCGCACCGTGGTCAACTCGACTTCCTCACCGCACCACGTGGGAGTCGCCCAGCGACCAATGGAGGCGGCTTCTCGAACTCCCTGCGGCAGCTCCGGGGGCGGTGGACAGGAGGAAGGTCCTATGCGAATCCGGAGACCACACGTGTCTTGGACCAAGTTTTGTTCGGAGGACTCTTTTCGATTGTCGGGTGTTTGATGTTTCTACTCTGTCGCGGGGGGGTGAGAGCTGCAGATCAAAAGGCGGCGAAGAGATGTTTGGCCGACACACCGTCAAGCGCCACAGGTGTCCAAAAACGACTCATGTGTGCCACAGGTTCACTCCTCGAAATGGAGGAGCTCAATCTCACAGCCTGCCAAGCAGAGCCGTGTGCTGAGCCGCAGTCGGAGGATCGAATCTTTAGCACTCGTGACTTCGTGGCGCAGTCCAGGGACTTCTTCCTGCCTGCTGGCTGTGGGCAGCGCTATGTGACCCCTGCAGGGGACTTGATCCACCCAGACCGAATGGCAGAGTTCGACTTCTTGGCCTCATGGCTGCGAGCTGGCCAGGCACGCAGCTTGGGGGTTCAGAAGGGCTCCCAGTGATTAAGAACGGGCATGTGAATGGGCTATCCAGGCTCTCCTGCAGGCTGTTCTCATCGATGTTTTTCTCTTGAAAGGACCTTCCAACATGTTTCTTTCATCTCTTTCATCCAGGCCGAGCCGGGCGCGACCATCCCATTGGCCATTGTGGTTTTGGCCAGTGGGCGAGTTTCAGGACCGGTGCAGGGCCGGGCCATTCTGGAGACCAAGGGCGAGATCTCCACGGTTTCTCGATCTGTGAGGCCGTCTTTGGAATCCATTCTTTTCCGCTTCGCGGTTTTTGCGTGTGGTTTGCTGTTAGGCTTTCTTTCGGGGGATGTTCCCGCGCCGTGGATCTCTGTGGCACTTTGGGGAGCATCCAGACATTGAAGCGACATTTTTTGTAGGTGGGGGGGCAAGGTTGTTGAAGCTAGGTGGGACTGTAGGACCGTTTTTGAAAGTCGGGGACTGTCCAAGTTGATGTGGTTGCTTGATGTTGTTTGACCGAGCTTGTTTGGACATAGTATATACGCCTATCTGCCAAACTTTATCATGCAAAGAAACAAAGGAGCATTGTGAAACGTTTGGTGTGAACCCTACGTTGCTGCCTAAGCTTTCATGAGGATCCATAGGTCGTGCTTCTGACTTGCCCGGCTGAGGTCCGCTTTCACATGACAGGCCCGACACAAGGGCAATCAAATTTCCCGTCCCTTGGATACGAAACTTGGCGTTGCTTGAAGCACCAGCCACCCCCAAGAGGGGTTGCAGGGAGTCGCAGTTTCAGACAACTGGAATTTGCCGAACACACGTTAAATCAATCCCTCTCAGACAGAAACCCATAGAAAGCGGAATCCTCTCTCAGAAGGGTTTGTTCCTTACGGCAGGTTTCTACTGGATGATTGCTCCTTTGGGTATTTTTGGATGCGAGGGCAGCTGAGGTTTCACACAGCAGAGATCTTCCGGCAGCTCTGCCTGGGCGAGCAAATGCTCTTGGAGGTCCAGGGGATCTTCGGATTTGAGGAGGCTCTCCCGCGGTTTGGCATGGGCCTGGTGACTCATGCATTTTTTCTTTGATGCCACTCAACACTCTTAATGGCTTAGGCCAGGCACCAGCAACCAGTGAAGAAGGAATCATCCAGAGTTGATAGGACTTTAGCACCCTGGCAAGGGATCCGGTACGTTCGAATCGTTTGGAAAAGTGGTGATTGCATCCCGACATGTCCGAATTGTTGGCCAGGCCGGCGACACAGATTGCATGATTTGCTATGCGCGCCCTAAGAATGTGCAACACGGCCTGGTCAAAAGGTTGGGGACACTGGGGCTGGCAGACACTCAGGGTCCATGTAGACAATGGGCCACCTTGGCGGTCCCCAAGCTTCCTTCCCTGATAGAGTTCAGTTTGGAAGCTCAACGCCCCCAATAATTTCTTCAAGCAGCTGCAGTATTCCCATGTTCTCTCCACTTACTTCGGGGGTTTGACTTCCAAGTATCACTCACCAAACAAGAGTGTATGCAACTCAGTGATTACCCGAACCAGGTCCCTGCTGGAGAAAACGTACGTATGCAGAGGACTCTTGAAATTGGGGTATATATATTTCTTAATGTCACTAGATATATCTAAATATGCTGTTTGGTGAGTCCACGGTGATCCCCTTTCAATGTATGGCACATCGTGTATACATCGTGAGTGTAGTACATCGTGTTTATTTGATCTATATTTGATCCTCCTGTTTGGCTCCATCTCCAGACCTGTCGGGCCCAGGCTCCTCTTGCCCTGCCGTCATTGCTCCGTTTGCCACTCCTGCCTTCGCTCCTTGCGCGATGAGAAGTGCCCTTTGTGCCGCTCCTCCTTCGGCAGCCTGGAATGGTGAAGAGAATATGTTCATGTTGCTTTATCATGCCTGTCTATATGTGTTAGCCTTTTCATTCAGCGCCATAGAATGCCAGTACCAGTGCTGGTGTTTACTGAAGCTTGCGCTGGTCTACAACTGGCACAGTCACTTTCCTTCCAACTGCAGTTACGGGTTCTTAGCGGGAAGAAGTTCTTTAAATATTTCTGAGTTGTTGCATTTAAGCACGCTTAAGCAAAATTAAGCACTTTAAAGCTCTTTTGGAAGAGTCTCGTTTGGTTGGAGGCTCTTCCCTAGTCGGAAGGAGGCTCTGTTCTTTTCAAAGCTGTCCAAAAAGGTGGCTACCTCACTGGCGCGATGCCCCGCGCCGCGGGGACGCCCGCTCGCCCAGCGGAGGAGCTGCCATTGACCGAGGAGGGGGTGGTGTAAGGAAAAAGAGCCTGAACCGCGGTGTCGGACCGTCGGGGTCGGGTCCACATGTGGGATGCAAAAGGACGGTGGGCGGTGGACCAACAAAGTAGGTGAAGTTGTTGACTTGTTGTCCGATCCAATACCCCATTCATGTTCATTATCGTTTTACCTGGAGCCATCATGTACCTATATGTCATTTGTCCGTGATTTTGGGATCTACACGCAGGGATATCCACCCGCTGCTGCCGATTCGTTGCCCAAGACCGTATGTACATATGATATGACTGAGGCTTCTGGAGCTTTCATCCCTCTCAGATTTCTCACTTTAACTGCCAACATTGGACTCCTTCGGACCGGTTGCAGACTCAGGTGAACCAGCCTGGGTGGAGCCCTTCGTCTTGCAGGGCTTTTGGCCCTTTCTTCTCAGCTCTGGCGGAGTGATCTGGCACCTTGGGAAGAACTAACAAGTGGTTGAGTATGCTTTGGATAATCCAGCATTTGGGTATAGCATTTGGATAATCCGTATCAAGACATCTACAGCCTATAGCCTATAGCCAAATGAAGTCATTGACTTTACGTAACATTTGGGCCGTCGCCCACCCAGATCTTCACCCAGCAGTTGCGTTCTCATGCACATCAGGCCGCATAGTAGCTTATTTCATTCGATCAATTCACTGGCCCAAACACCCCGACGAAGGAGAACAATATGCACGCCCGATCGACTGCGGTTTACATGGTGTGAGCTTCTCATTGCATTCGTGGTGAACAAACAGGCACTTGTTTGCCCCGTGTTTGTTCCCACAGGCAATAGGCTGTATGAGTTCCATTCCGAGGCACGAATGTTACGGACGGCCTTTGCGGGTTCAATCCAAACAGTTTTGCAAAAGATGAACCATTCTCTGGTTCCAGCATGATCCCAGCCTCCAGACTATCCAAGACCCTAAGGTCAGTGGTAGCCGTCCTTCTTGGCCTAGTGGCTGCAGGTTTGATTCTTTATGTGCCTCAGCTTAACTCCAGCCCTCTGGCGATGCAAACATGCATATCAGCATTGCCGTTCAAACCAGTAGCAGGGTCCCATTTGTGAGAGGCCTCTAGCGTTTCGACTGGAAGCCAATTTGGCCCTAAGCTAGGTCCGTTATTGGGATTCCATCAACCCATCAATCCATCATCCTTGACATATCCAAGGTGAGCTGCTTGATTGCAGAACCATGCCAGAACACCCCACCAGTTGATCTAAAACATCTAAATTATTCCTCATAAATTTTCCCATTTCATCCTGTCCAGCGCTCTTCCACTAGGTCTACCTCGCTGATGCGGTCCCGAAGCCCTTCTGTGGCCTCAAGCTGCCCACCTTCCCCGGGGTCAAGGTGAAACTGTGAGAACTGAGAACTGTGTGCGATTTCTGCGGGTTGGAGAAAACGGAACAGCCCGGGTGGCCACGGCCAGTAAATTCATGCAGATGCTTTGGAGAGAGCGTAGGTGTGGGAGGTTTGAGGTTTGTGAAGTAGACACCGCCTGCACGACGTGTATTGAAGGGAACAATGTGAACGTATAGCTAAGTATCCTGGCTGAGGACCAAGCGGTTCCGCGACAAAAATTGCATTTTGAGTTCAAGGTCGGCTGTAACACTGCTGTCTTGGCACCTATCCCCGCTTTATCCATCTTTATCCCGTTTTGATTTCTGATGGCCAAGGTGGGAGCCGAAATGTACTTGGCCTATCCATGCTGCAGAATAGAAATAGTTTGAGATGGTGTTGGGCCAAAGAACAGGTAGACTTGCAGCTGCTGGGCATGTGTGCAGGAGGAATACTACTACTGGGGCGTTTTTGCCGCCGCAGCTTGCTTGAGTGCTGGGTGCCCAAGCCGTTGGTGTCTTTTCGAGAGCTGGGGATCACTGATTCAGGTCTGCCTCAGATCCGCTTTTCTTCAGACTCTGGTGCATTTCTTCACTGAACCAATGAGCTAAAATAGAAGAACATTGACAGGATTTGCGTCACCCTGCGATGTGATTCTCCTGCGATGTGGGCCCAAGGGGGTGATGCTGCTGAGCTGCGTCTTGTCTTTCTCCTCGGGCTTCGGTGGCAATGCCTTCAACTGGGCAGCCTCTGCCTCTCGAAGATGGGACACAGGGGTGGGGGGGTGCAAACGAAGCAACGGAATTGAGCACGTGTGATCTATAAAAAACCTTGTGGAGCAGATAATTATAGTGTACAAGCCCAGAAGGTAGTGTTCAACTTGTAAAGATAGAGGTGATAGATCACACACACACTGTACTATATATATATATATTGGTCATTTACATCTGGACCTCCATAGCTGACAAGTTTAATGTGCTTCGACACCTCGCAGGCCTGTCATGGTTGTTTGTTTGGAGTTCGTCACTGGTTCGTCGGGCATTCCACAAGGGACGTGGGGTTTGACTCAACTGGCGCCTAGCTTGGATCTATGTTTGTACATGCAGCCAGGTGCTCAGCCAGAAATTGCAGAAACTAAACTAAATAGAGATCCACATGATAGTCAGATAGTCCAGTGATGCAGTCCATACAGTATCAGGGGATTGCTTTACTCAACCAAGGAAGTTGGCCAGATTCTGGAAGGTGTACAAACAAGCGTGACCGACGAATCTTGGCATAACTCGTGTTTTGAGGGTGCATTCGTCATTCGTATGCGATAGCCGATAGATAAATAGATAGATAGATAGATACTTAGATAGACAGATACAGTAAATAGAAAGATAGAGAGAGAGAGAGAAAGAAAGAAGGGTAGAGTAGAGTGTAGAAAAAGATCGACAAGCAAGGGCTAGATCATTCTTGGGGCCACTCTGCTACACAGATGCCGCCCATTGGAAGAGGTCGATGGCGTCAGTACCACGGCTGAGAAGGTCACAGCAGACCTGCCGCTGGGTGCAACAGGTGTCGGTGTTCATCGGCGTTTAGCATAGGTTTGCAAAGAAGTCCAATGGAATCCAGCTTCAGTAGAAAACGAAGTTTGTGGACTCTGGGGAGCTTAATTGGAAAGCTGACCGCGCCAGTAATAGCAGCCAGTTGCATGTCGAGGAAGATCAGTCGTTGCGAGATCAGTCGTCCGATTCATGAACCCCGCGGAAGACTGAACCTCCAAGGCAGAACCTCTACAAGGTTTGCCCACCCTCAATTGAGCAGATGCTTGGCAGCTCCTCGACAGGTCTAAGACACCCATGGACAACGAACAAACCTGTATTAGGAAGCGAGCGGCCTGGTGACTTGGCGACTTAAAACTAACACACGTTCATTCAGCTGGGGATGTTGACACCCCTTACTTAGATTTGCTCCCCATCACTTATGGAAAGAAGTTCTATTCAACTGTAGCAGACGTCATATTGGTAACGTGTATATTTTTCGAACATTCAGTCAAATTTAGTCGCATTAATTAGTATACTCGTGCAACAACCTCAGCAACATCTCAGCAGCGTCCCACTCTATGGCAATTTTGTGGATGCATAGTAACGCAATGGAGATGGGCAAAGAACGCCCTGACTTTAGACCCTGGTTCCTCTCCGAACATGAGCAAAACACTTGTTTAGTGGGGTGGCACAAGCGTGGTGAGTGGTGACCGCCAAAAATGATCTCCTCTAGACTCTAGAGAGTGCCTTAATTGCTGGGCATGGCCTTAAGCTAAAACTTTTCCTAGTTTGGCTAGTTAGTCTACTTCAAACAGATCACCTTACACCTTGCTCAATTTCAGAACTGGAAGTAAGTTGATGATAGGACCGTCCCTGAGACAGAAAGTGCACACATTGTTCCCAATCGTCCAGCGCTTTTTGCATGTGCACATCCCTGCTGCTGCTTCTGTTTGTGATTTGGGATGGTTTCATTTTTGGTGTTCACCTCGGTCGTTGTGAAACTGAGCCTCAGGCAAACGCTCTGTGTCAACACTGAGCTATCAGTGAGGGGGATGGGGGGAATCGAGCAAACCCTGATGGGTGGAGACCTGCTCTCCATTGCTCTCCCACTATATAGCTGGTATAGGAGCTCCTTTGTCGCCGAGCCTAGGTTCCGTGACTCGTGTGAAGGGTGACATCTCGAAGGCCTCCGAAGAGGCCGAGCTGGCCGTGCCTTGGCAGTGGGCGCCGTTGGCGGCAACTCGTGTTTGTCAACAGCCAACAGCTGTCGTTGTCATCGTGTTGTTGAGAAGTATATAGTTGTGACTCGATACGGATGAAGATCAATCTGATTGCGTTTACAGTTCCAGCCACCCAGAGTGGGAGTTGCTGGTGGCCAATGAACATGTTAAGTGAAGAGTTGGTGACTCCTTCACACTTATGACATTTTGATAATTTGGCGATGCCGTCACAACGAAGCCATCAAGCTCACTTGTGAGTGTGCGGATAATGTCTTGTTGTCAGACACTCGAACAAGAGAGCTCCAAGCCCTCAGTGCCGGTGAAGCTGCCGGGATGGCCATTCCAAAACCCATTGGACCATGCACGTTCGAAGGATCCAACAGCTTTTGAAACGAATTTTGACCAATCCTCAGATGACACGGTATGATGTGGTATGTCTGAGGGACCTGAAGGGCAGGTGAGACACGGCGAACGGGAGAAGCATCGGCATCGACGGGGGGGATTCCATCATATCCGTAACGGGTTGTGTCCACATCGACCTGAGGTGAAAGCGCTCAAGGATTTCCCAGGGCTCTTGCAACATGGCGTTGATGAGTTACGCGGCTTGTCTACCTGGCTCCTTGGCAGCCACGAGTTGGATTTACACGGGGTCAGTGTAATTAGTGGTCGGTTTGGTGGAGCCAGAAGTGTTTTGTAAACGACATGGGCAGGGGCTTTTATCATTGTAGGTGCAATAACTACAGAGGCTTACGGTATCTCAGTCACAGTCTTTGCTGAGCTGGAAATTGGTCCCCTGCGGAGATACTGTATATAATTCTAACGAGAAAGACCACATGCCGAAGGCCGAAGGGTGCTTGTCTTGCTTTCCGTGGCAACAGGGTCAGTTGCAGAAAGGAAGGCTCTTGGATAGTTCAGCAGGAATCTGAATCACTTCAACCGCTCCCAGCTTTCTTTTGCCAAGTGCGGGAGGGATGACAAACTCTGGAGGCAAAGAATGCCAAGGGAAAACGCGGGAGGGATGTGAACGTCTAGCTGAATGGACTCTGAATGGGTCTGAAACCGTATGCTGAGGGCTGTAGGATTTGAAGTATGCGTCGACAAGTTCAATCCTCACTTTCTTTGTTTATGTTGTTTTTCAATGAGCTTTGGAGGCGATATTAATCTTGACTGACTGGCTTCAATCAAACGGGGAGCGCGTTGCCAAGGGTTGTTGTGGTCAGAGGCATGGTTCAACTCCCAGCAGCATGGGCTATCTTTGGAGTGATTATGGTTTTCGTATATGCTGTATATATATATATATACTTGGTAACAGCATGTAAGTAAGAGCCAGCACTGGACTCATCTACCACTGCACCAGGAGGTATGGTTTTAACAATTGAGGAGCTTTGCATGGGCTTGTTCTTCTCACAGATTCCTGGAAGGCTGTGAAAACTGATCAGTGCGGTTGAGGCTTCCCATCATTGCTGGCCTCAGCCTGGCTACTGTGCTGGTTTGCTGCGGGGCAGTATCTCGGAGGGGCAGAAGAAAGAATTGGTTGGGTTTGGAGGTGTGTGGAAGGTTCAGCCGGTTCAGTTTACACAGCTGATTGAGGGTTGACCAGGTTTGCAGGTTGAAATTGCTAAAAGTGCCAGCTCAACAAACAGAAACCATTCCTGTGACCTAGTCTGCCAGTGCTGGGCAAGGTCCCCATGTTGGTCCATTCTCACGCAGAATAACTAAAGCTATATTAAACACCTGTCATCTCAAATGCAGTTGGGGTTTCCCTGGTTCTTTCCTCCAGTGTCATTTCAGGGATGTCCCTTTAGGATCCTTTAGGCGCACAGCCTAGGCTTCAACACTTCAACACCGTGTCAATTAACCAAGTCGTGCACTTCTCAAACGAACCACCAGATCGTGATGATGGCATCCGTCAATCACCAGTCAATACCCGGGCCCCGACCAACCGCAACCCATTTGGAGGCGAAAGCGATTGGCGTGCCCAGGCATGGCTCCAGCTGCTTTCCAGCCAAAACGCCACAGTGAACAAGCGCCTCACGCGAAAGCTCTCGCCCACGACGCTCCTCGCCCGCGAGCCGAGCAGAGCAGATGTGGGATACTTTTGATGTGGGGATGGGGGCCCCCAAGGGTTCGGAAGGACGTTCATGGCGAAATTCGCAGCACAAAGAATAGAGACTCATCCAGCTGGCTCGTCAGGGTCCTGGTGTATTATGAAGTAAAAAAGCTGCTCCCTTGACCTTTCGTTCCCACAACCTATGGCATATTAGGCGAAGAAGACATTGAGGCATCCCAGGCGACGCTTGGAAACACCAAGGGTACATACATGCGGATCTCATTGCCTCAATAGTGCTCGCACCCTCCGGCTCACTGACATGGAACTGGACATCAGCCCTAGAAGGACCACTGTACTTCTCTTCACAAAACAGAGTGGTTAACTCACTTCCCATGAATGTTAGCGAGTTGGAGTGTAGGTGTGATGTAGTGAGCATCCTCTTTGGACATACTCAGTACATCCACCAGTCACCTCAGGTTGGCTTTACTGCTGCCCTGCTGCGTGGCGGCCTCCACTCTGATCCTTTGCGTGGCGGCATGTGCCGAGTACGCCACAGCGAGCACTGTGACGGGCTTTTGCCGCGACGGCCTGGGGGATGGAGTTGGATTGTGTGAGGATGTGCGACAACCTTCCAATCTGAGCCAGAGAAGATTGACGCTGTATATTTGTTATATAGCTATGTTAATACATATGCACACACACATATATATATATACACATACATATCATAACTAATGATAGGTGTATAATACACGGTGTATATATAGTTATATATATAATGTTTCGTTATTTTTTGGACTTTGAGCCTCTGAGCGGTTCCTAGTTCCTTTGACTCATGCTTTAGGAAAGCTACAGTTCCAGTCCGGGCCCCTGCTTTCTTTTGCAGCGTAATCACTGCAGGCTAATTTTTGTTTTTTGTTTTTGATTGATGCCTTTTTGCTCGAAAGTCTTTGAGTTTGAGCCACCCTTGCTACCCTGTCAGATGGGCCAGATGCAAAGGTCTTGCAATTCGCTGAGCAGAACCTTGGCTCGCGCCTGTCCAAAGGGATGCTGACTGGTCATGGTGGAGTTTGGACTTTGGACTAACATAATCATTATAAGTAAGCATTAAACAACCTGATGATGGACCGACTAGGACGTGGCACAAAGCTGGACCAGGCCGGACCACTTGGACGTGACGAAGACGTTTCTACGTTCACATGACATCAAATTGATCCCATTTTGTTGGGCATGGGCGTTCTTCCATGGGCCAGTGGAGTGGGGATTCTTCCATCCACTTCTTGAGGACAGCAGGGAAGACTTCTTCAGCCTACAGCCTCACAGAACACTACCTCACAGGTGCCACCGCTGCCACCGCTGAGAGGAAGACTGGGTTTGATGAAAGGATCGTACTAAAATATTGTTTACTATGCGACTGAGTGCTTGTGGCCAGGTACTTTTTTGCGACTGTAGCGAAACAAATGCATGTGATTTGGCATCCACTTGCCTTGATTTGCTGCCAAATCACTGGTGGAAAATTCGGCCGGTACCCGGCCTCATAGGTACTGTGGACAATCCGGCCACAGACCACTTGGAGCTGGCGAAGCAATCGGTTTTGGCCAGTGTTCACTGGATCACCGAGTACAAGCCCCTTGGCCGGCGATGTTGTTGAAGTCGCAGAAGGAGCTGGGTCTCGAATTTCATCAGAGTATGCAGGGATTCTTGTTTTTCGGGAGTGTTGACACGGGTTGATGGAGGTAATCTTTGGCAGAGACAAAAAGAGGAAGTTTTCTTCTTCCAATACTTTCCTGTAGGATTTGTGACATGGGGTGTGGATGGTGTGGTGACTTGTGGTAAAGTGAGGTGATTTGGATGTGTAGCGGAGTGAAATGTAACGTGCTGGTGATCAGTGAGATGAAGTGCAATGCGGCGATGTGCATACGGGGCATGTTGGGCCTCCGGCAATCATGGAAGTGAAAGATGGCTCATGGAAAGCCACTTTTAATCTACAAACAGGGGCCTTGTCCACTTCCATGTTGGTTGGGGGGTGGGTATGTGTTTTAAGATGATGAAACAAGCATCTATATGGGGTCCAGGACTTGCGTCATGGAAGAACTCGACATGTTCAAACAAAGCCCTTCAAAGTCCTAGTCCTATCAATAATCGATCAATGTCCCTGGATCAGATTTGGTATTCCCAACCCGGAACCTCCGGCTTTCCATGATTTCATTGTCATGAGGACAGTGCTTCAGCAGACATGCCCCAAGTGGAATTCTCAGAGTGTCTTCGACGACCTGAAGTTGCTGGAGCAGAAGTTGAACGCCACGGAGTCACGGCCAAGCAAGCTGCACAGACGGAGTCTTTTTGCATCCAAACTTGCCAAAAAAGGCACAACAATTTCATGAAATGACCCAAAGCTCGAGGCTTTAAATATGGGGTGCACGAAATGGAAAACAGTTAGTTTCCACCAGTTTCCTCAGTGAATTGTTTGGGCCTTGTGGATTGAACCAGCCACAAGATCCTGAAGATGGGTGAAGCCTTCTGGTCTTACAGGATCGGACATCAAAGTCTTTTGTCCGTCAAGGGCCGATGGAGGCTGATGGCACCAGATGCTGATGGCCGTCCAGATCGCTGCCACTGCCACCTCCGATCGCTGCCCCTAGCTTGACCTCGCCAACTTAGGCTTCGAGGAACACTTGAGCCTGAAAGACCGACCATACTTAGATATGCTGAGATGGTGCTATGTGACCTACTTGCTACATTTGCAGCCCAAGCGCCAACCACGTTTCCAAATCCTGATGCCAATCCATTACGATCATCAAGCCCATGTTCATACCACCCCAACAACTTGAAGCCTCAGCGGTCTCTCAGGAAGCTGTTCTGGAGCCGGAGGCCTTGTATGGTCACTACCAACAGGCCACCCATGTGGCCGCTTGCACTGGTGGCTCCACTGGCCTAGCAGCTCGATCACAAGAAGTGGAAAATGCAGTGGAAACGTCAAGGATTTCTGCGAGGACATGGGTGCCGTTCAGAGAATCCACACCAAAGAGGGTGTTACAGTGGGATTCATTGGGGAAGCTTGTGGGAATCAGGATTCAGAATACAGTGGATGAATAGGCGTTTGGCACCATCCATCAACGCTTCCAGTTGAACAGACGCCTGGCTAAGGCCACTTTGGCCACTGAGCAGATCTTCCTGGGAGCCTTGTTCTGCAAACAGACCCGCTGTGGAACCAATCCGTGCCATACCTGTATGCTACCTTGGTTCATACTGGTGCCACGTAGTGAGTGCTCCGTGGATGCCCAGAGGGCAGTAAAAGTAATTAACACAATTGTGTCAGCATGTTGCCTTTGGACACAGCCACCTGCGCCTCTGGAAAAAACCTGCAGATGCACTACTAGGTTAATAAGTTTGTTGTAGGTGAAAAGGTGATGTTACTGCATGGCATTGGAGGGGGTGTTTTCCAAGAAACAGGGTCACAGCCGCTATAGCCCAGGTGCCTTTTTCCTTCCGGTCTTCTGCTTGGCGACCACATGGCTCTCCGACTTTGCATCAAAAGGTGGGGCTGGGGTGCCCAGCTTCAGGACTGAAGAGTGGAGCGATGGAGCTAGGTCTGAAGAGTCCTCGTTGGAGCATGTTGGCATGATAGATAGGGATGTTCCAAGTGGTCCCCAGCTGCGATGCAACGCTGAGGCCTATGAGAAGCTGGGCCAAGGAAAGGCTGATGGACAGAAGCCTGGAGTTGATTTGGGCCCAGGGTGATTGGAGGGATCAATAGAGTGGAGCCATTTCCACAGACCTTTCTTGATGTAGGCTTAGCCAATGAGTGTGTTTTTCTCCTCTAGCGCGCAACTAGGCCCAAGGGCACTCAAAAGGGTGCAAGCCCTAGGCCCTACGAAACGCAATTGAAAGATCAAACTTTAGGCCACATCCACCATTTATTGGTCAATACATGCCAATACATGATATTTGCGAGGCTGTAGAGGTAGCATGTTGAAACAAGAAAGGTGCTGAAGCAAGCAAGGCTCTTCAGAAACAATGCGACGTGGCCTCTGTTCCAATTGTATACGTGTTCTCCAGTTTCAGAATGTAGTCCAAGTTTTCCGCTCCTGTGCTCAGCAGACATGGTCACCGACCTTTTTTCGCGACAAGTCCATGATGAAACGCACAGTTGTTTCAAACGATTTAGATAGGGCGTCAGCAGGCTGCGCAACCCGCACCAACCCTACTAGGGAGGGATTACGATGGGCTGGGGGAAGTTGTCGCGCAAAACCGGATTGATTTTTCTTCAGGGTTCGTGTTTTGAAAACCAGACTTGTGGTTTGATTCAAGGTGCTCAGAAAAAAGGCGGGACGATGAACATCCCAAGTTCCAAGAGTAGTCATCATAGCTAATAGCCTGCTCTTTTGCAGAGCCTGCGGGTTTCCAACAATGACCCATAGTTGTCATTACTGTTTTTTGCACCGCCGATCCTCCAAGACAACTGTGCCTTCTTTCATGTTTATTCTTGGGATTTACATGGTAGAAGCCTTTTGTTGGATAACCATGTTGCCCGTTCTCGCTTTCATGCTTATCATCACTTGATTGTAAACTTCAATGTAGCAATTTCAATATATACTACTTTTGGCCATGCACGTTTATGATCGGTCAGCCATTGTGCTTCGCATGTCTTGTCATTGAGGAGTAGCGACGATGAGTCAAAACATGAAGAGCTGAACTCCCTCTACTACGCCTGGGGGCCCAGATTGGTGTCTACATTGAAGGCATTATCCCAGTGAGATGTCCGCGCACCGGCTTTTGTACATTCAGGTAGACAAGTTGTTTGTGAGCCTGAAGACTTGCACGGATCATGGACGTGTTCAGTCCATCCAACGATTCAATCTTTTCTTGCAGCATTCAAGCCTGAAGTACCAATAGGATGGCAAAACAACACAAGCCAATGCATTTCCTGTTCATGCAGCGGAGCTCAATGACCTGCATGTCTACAGCATCGTCTCATAATGTTTACCACTTGTCGGCGTGCGGGATGAATTTGCTGGCGGAGCATTGGGAGGTGTGAAACATTTTGAAACCTGCCGCCCAATGGCACTCGGGTTATTCCAAGGTTGTGTATGCCATTTCAGCACCCTAGACTGCATCAGCAGGGATTGAGGGAGCTGGGCAGCCGATATGTTCGGCACCAAGACCTGACATGGGAACCTCACGGTTCGATCTTGAGCACGCTTTCCCACACAAAAAATAAGACTATGCGGTAGGGAAAGCTGTTGGCCCCCAGGCCAGAGCAAAGCCACCAAGGACTGAGAAAAGAAATATGATCCTTGCACTAGCGGTTTGGGGCACCTCATGGTTTGGGCAACTGCCATCCTCAGGGACCTGAGTTTGCTGACGGTGTTTCTTTCCTCTCTTGACACCTACTTGAGGGGAAAGAGCGACCGGCCATAACAGGTCGTCATCTCCAAGGAAATTGTAGATTATATAACACTACTTGGGTCTTTCTCACAAATTCTCACACTACTTAGTTGTGAGCTTTGAAACTTTTTGGGCGGCAACAAGGCTGATTGTCGGCCTGACGTTTCGTGCCGGTTCGCCACATGGAGCCCAGATGCCCACAAGGATGCCCAGTTTTGACCCCCGAGTTTTGACCCAGACATGTCGTCTTGACCGGCAAGGTCGTGATTTTTGCTGTTGGACTGTGGATGTATCTGGTGCCCCAGCCGGGAATGGTCCGCCCAACGATTGGCACCTTGCTCTTCTGCACGGGCGCCGCTGGGACATCAAATGCGTCAGGTGGCGAATGGCTATGCGTCAGTGGCACGGTCTACCACTCCCTCGGTCCAGCAAGGCAAAGATTCGTTTCTCCTGCCAGAAAAGCATTCGTGAATGTTTGGGCCAGGTTCGTGAGCTACTCCACGATGATTTCATCCTCTTCAAAGCCAAATGCATGGCATTGACCACTGATGTTTCCCCCTACGGATGCCATCGGTGTGCCTCAATCACAGGAAATGGACGTATCCTATGAGTCCCATTGTTTGGACGTAGATGTGGACTGTTGAGCAACCTACAATGCCAATCAATGCCAGAGGGGCGAGGAGCCTTGACAAGAGCGTTGAACCTCATCGCAGGGTGCGGGCATGTTTCGAGTGACAAGCGTCAAACACGGCCATGCCGTGCCATGCGTTTACTGTAGGTTTTCCTGATGATGAACTCTGACCTCATTGTGACCTACTTCCGGCTACATGAGCAGGCGGGAGGCACAGACCTGCGAGCCCATCGCCAGTTGAAACACCTTGTTTAACAAAACGCATCCACGTGCCAACTGCATGCTGAAGGGCCTTCTCCCCACGCCAAACGCGTCTCCAAGGTTGAGAAATTCAAGGCAAACAATGACGGTGCCTTGGAACAGAACCTGTGTAGCGGCAAAGCTGGCAACGGCGAGCCACAGGGACCCTACTGCTTGTTGAAATGGCCAGATCGCTAAGACTATTCGCTGCCACAGTGTGAGACCAGAGCTTCTTGAATTGGGTTTTGTTTCTTCTTTTGACAAACAATTGCCGTGCGTTCACGCCGCCTCTCGCCACTGAGACTACCAAAAGAACTTGGACAAACAAGCGCAGGAGGTGCGCCTGGGTGGTGAGTGAAACCCTCGGGGTCTCTGGTGGTTCGGCAGACACTCAGAGATGGCTGACCTTCAGTGTTTCGTTGGAGCTCCAAAGTCCAGCTTCGATGACACTTGGTACCCTTTCCAAAAATACGAAAATACGCCTTTTCAGCATATGTTCGATAAGATAACCCGTGGGGTTCATTGTCGCATCATGAAACTCCTCCCGTCCAGCTTGTCACGTTCAGACGTTCAGAAGCTGCCTGGTGCGGCTGGTTGGGGCTCCCTGACTTGCACGGGGGTTATTCAGCGGTTAACCCGAGTCAAGACACTCGCTTACCACGGCATGTGCTGGCTGGTTTGGGTCTTATGATTTTACTGTAATGGTTTTGTCGACCAATATCGATGGATATCGATGGCAGCGGTGCAAACCATAGGGCAAAACATGGAATTAGCTTTGCTGGAGGTTGAATTGCGCGACCGTTCCTCTTCAAACACAACATCCGTTTGCATAGGTGAGGACCTTGCAAACTGCAGCAAAGGGCTTTGAAGAGATCGAACGTGGCTTGGCTTGTGGAAGACGTTGTTCTGATCACCCAGACATTGAGCACGGCACGGTGCAGAAACATGCAGACAGAAACATTACTTAATTCATCCTATATGTTTTAAACACAGTTTTTATATGTTAGGCAAGCTGGCCTCAGCAAAGGTATTCCTTAAGCCTACCGAAGGGGGGGTCCTAAGGGGGAATAGGGATTAATGTCAACCCCGGATTAATCTGCCCCCCCCCCACATAGAAGGTCAACAAGGTCAAGAAGGTATGAGATACCACTCATGAGGTCCACTCCCCCTGAATTATCGGCTCAGGGGGCCTAGTCGTCGTCGGTAGTAGTAGGTAGTAGGTAGTAGTAGGTAGTAGTAGGGTAGTAGGTAGT